ATGAGCATTAAAAGACGCTAAAATGGGACATTTTGAATGCCTCACTGCTCCTTAACGAGCATGCCCCCCCTTTTTTATTCTATAATTTAAGTTCTCATATGATAAATATTTATTGGACAAAGTTTGAACAAAAATCTATGTGCAGTTTTATTTCAAGGCAATTACCTTAAATAAATGAGCATGGAAACCACAAACTAACCTGCACAAAGCTCACAACACATTGGGGTAAAAGAGTCAAGGGAAGTCTTATAATGTTAAACAGAGACATGGCAACAAACGTTTTGGCAGCTGTCAGCTCATTGTTAGTCAAAACGTATACTCCAAACGTAGCGAAGGAAACCTGCAAAGTATTTTTTTCGATTAATCAAGTGCAAGCATATTAACAAATACAATTGCCAGATATACATCATGGGTAGGGACCGCAAAAATGTACCTGCTGGTTTTGAGTTCTGGAACACAAATTTCGCTACAACAGGTATTGACGCGGAAGAGTAGCAGCCATTATTAAATTATTCGTGTCAAACCTTGCAAGAGCTGCTACCCAACACCACTGACGATTCGTCTCTTGCCTCTGTTTGAAAGCTTGTCAATGAGCACAATCTTGATTTGAATGGTTTTAAAGTTGTCCTAGTTTTGAAACTGAAGCAAAAGGCGCTCGGACATGCCGTCAGTGTTGTTTGACGATGTTTCACAGGTGTTCAGTTGCTGCTCACTTTTTCGAAGAATGCAGTTTGCATCGCTAAGCCGAAAATGGAGAAAAACGATCAATCTTAGCTAAAATTTAAAAGCATCGGCGGGTAAATGAAACACTTTGTTGTTGCTGTTGTTTTTCTTAGTTGACTATCAACCTGAATTTAATGAAAGCTAAATTAACTGTCGTAGTGGAAAGCAAGCTGACGTTGGAGCGTTAGCCCTTCATCAGAGAAAAACCGAAAATAAATAAATATAAAATATATAACTAAAAAAAACAACAACAACGACAACTACAAACAAACCAGAGAGACTTACCAAGAAAGGGGCGCAAGTGAATGTGAATTCAATGATTGCGTTAAAACACGAGGCATTTCTGAGATACTTCAGTTCATTTTTTCTTATTCTCATAATTTTACTTAGAAACGGTTCTTCCCACGCATACAATTTCAGCACCTGAAACGTGAAAAAAAAAAAAAAAAAAA